TATTAACGTGTGAATGACAAGCATTAAGAATAATACCAAATAGCTAATTATCTTGCAGATTGTCTCGTTTGATTATGAATGTAACGTTTATATAGTGGAACTACACTGTTTTATCAAAACCAAAGTGCCACGCAGTGACTTGGTATGCATGTATTTCAGCAGGAAATGTGCAACCTAGATGACATTTACCAACACAGACTATATCGAAATATTTGTAAAAGTTGTTCATGCGTTACTAAGTGAATATGGCATTAACCCTCCTGTTGTCTTCGGGTCAAATCTGACCGATTTACTACTTTCATCAATCATGTTTTACATTCGATTGATACTGAGAGCATGTTAGCTTAGCTTCTTAGCCTGAGCTAGGACTCGAACGTCACGCTCGTTGGCAGCAGGTCCCGCCCTGTCCCGCATCGGCTCCGCCTCAGCTCCGCCTCTTTGCCCTTATTTGGAGAAGGCGGGAGTTAGACTCTGACGACACCGTCGAGCCGTTAGTGGCCGACTCCGCCTACTAAGGGCTTCACGGCAACTCTGCAGAATCCTATGGGTGACGGACCCTACGTCCATTTATATATACAGTCTATGGTCAAAATACTTAACAAACCTAATTACTTTAATTAACATGATTAATACATGAAAAACGTACAACAAAGCCATTAAACATAAATCTTACATATATTCACTCCCCCCTACTTGGTGTATCTACCCGGAACGATAACACGGGGTTGTTTCCCCGGGGAATCTTGTAATTGCGCACACTGGGAGTTGGCTGGCTTTGGAGACAGTTGTGCACAGGTTAATATGATAAGCTGTTAAATATATCTGTAACTTTACATTACAGCACTTAAGATATTCATTGCTATCGGGATGTTAAGAGCATTCCATGGAATATAACAAAAAGTGTATCTCGAGCCGGTTTCTCAAACTTACCTACCCCACCTTTAACGGTAACAAACTGCATTTAGGACACTTGTTATGTGCGTTTATATATTTAGATTGAGCGACTGAAAAGATCGCTCCGAGCTCTGCCAATCAAACTACTTAATTAACATTAATTAGTTACAGGCAGTGTTGGGACTAACGCGTCACAAGTAACGCGTTACTGTAACGCCGTTATTTTTGCAGTAACTAGTACTCTAACGCATTACTTTTTGAATTCAGTAACTCAGTTACCGTTACTACATGGTGCGTTACTCCGTTACTGCTTTAGTTTTTTTATATAGTCAACAGCCAGGCGAACAGAGATGAGAACTGTACTTAAGTACAGTACTTGAGTAAATGTACTTTGATACTTCCTGTGTCACGTGCGGAGACGGGCTGTGGGCGTGTTTGTGTTGTTTACTAACAAGACTATCATGGCGGCGGCGGAGCTCAAGTCTAGTTTCTCCACCTGGAGATATTCTCACTATTTCACTTTTGTCGAGCACAAAGAAAATAACGTTTTAGTTAAATGTAAGTTGTGTCTTGGCGGGTCAAAGAGTCTATCTACTGCCCAAACCAGTAATTCAAATATCTTAAAACATCTGCAAAAACAACATGCTGGGACGAAGCTAGTAGCTAAGACCACAGAGACTCAGCCGACGCCACTCCACCTCCACCTAAGGAACAGCGGCTGGATTTTAACCAAGGGACTGCTATCCAGGGAAAAGTCGATAAAGCCATTGCACGGTATGTTGTAGAACACATGCAGGCTATTGCTACAGTGGAGTCACCCGCTTTCAGGGAGCTAGTTAGCATGATAGCATGTCCGGACGGCATATGGGACGGAAAACTTTTTCCAATACCTGGAGAAAGAATATACAAAAATGGAAAGCCAGCTAATATCGATGCAATCCAGATTGCATATAATGCATGTCAAGTTGATCAACAGATTGTATTATTCTCCAATGCAATAACAGTACTGAAATTAAGGCTATAAGGGCATTAATGGGAGCCCTCTTTCAAGGAACGAAAACGTTACTTTTCACAGTAACGCATTACTTTTGGGTGTAAGTAACTAGTAAAGTAACTGAGTTACTTTTGACATGAAGTAACTAGTAATGGTAACTAGTTACTGGTTTTCAGTAACTAGCACAACACTGGTTACAGGTGGTGTGGCCAATTCAACAACAGGGCATGAACAAAACAAAAATTCCCTGCAACACTTGTCTGTTTCATTATTCAAAACATTTGCTTATAGTGTTACAATAGTTAACTGTGGACAACCTATTTAGCCTATGGTCATTCTCGCTAGGGTGCCGTTTTAGTGTCCTGTACATCGTCAAGTTGCAACTAAGCAATAATTTAACATAAAAGTTGTTTGTCATATTAGTCTTAAGTTTTCTGTATTTATTAAAATGCCTTACTTGGTGCTTTAGACACTTTTTCTTGATTTTTTTCTGTTTAGTATATAGGAAGTATGCTATGTTGCTTAAAGGGGACTTATCATGCAAAATGCACCTTTGGACGTCTTTTATACATGAATATGTGTCCCCGGTGTTCCAGGGAACTCACCAAGTGTCAGAAAACACAACCCTCTCTATTTTCCTCCTTCGCCAAATCTCTAAAAAAGGGGCTGAAATGGATCTGAAAAAAACGGATCCAGATTTCAACACTTTCCTACGTCACAAAGAGACGTGCTCCGCTTATTGGTCAACTCTCCACCTATCAGGGGAATGAGCCACGGCCACGTGCATTGCCAAACCTCTCATTCGCATATAGGCTATCGGCAGGCTAAATCAACTCCAGTCACATCTGTGTTTTTGTCTGCTCTTGCCAGGATGTCTAAGCGAGTTAAACTTTGTGCTGTTGTTGGCTGCAAGACTCGAGAAGGGGGACTGCATGCAATGCCATCAGTGGAAAAAGAAAAAGAATCTGTGGCTAGACTTCATTTTCAAGGGACATGTGCCAGAAGACCACGGCAGATTTCTGTTTGTGTGTTCCAAACATTTTTACCACGGACATGTTTATGAACTTCTCTCAAGTCCAACACGGATATGCCTCCAAGCTAATGCTAAACCCGGGATCAATACCAACCATCCGGGAGCAGGCCAGTGAGGACACATCCAATTTTGAAGCTGTAAGTTTTTATTTAGCGGTGTTTTTCCTGATAAAGCTATCTCTAGCTTGTAGTATGTAGCATGTAGCTTCGCCGTATCAATGTCGCCTCAAACCCAAATAGTAATCGGTTAGGTGTTTATATGTTTTTATAACATTTTATATTGTACGCTCCGCAGTCTTTGCTTTGTCTTTTATTTTAATTATTAGGCATTTGCTAACATGTTCAGACATACTGCCGTAATGGCGATCTGTGTGACGGCTGTAAAGCCACGCCCTAGCCGATAACACAAGTATTTATTCTCCTATTTATTAGTATTTTGTATCCTCTAAAATCATATTGAGTAAGTTATAATAACAAACGTAATCTTCTGTAGGTAAGTGCCGTTTTTTCCAGCGTTATATGTAAAAGCTTTTGTGATTGTAGTCTGTAAGAACGATCAGATCTGTAAGCTACGCTACGCTAATGAGACATGCCGTTTTTTCCAGCGTTATATGTAAAAGCTTTTGTATGTTTACTTGTTTACGCACATGAATATAAATGGGGATGTGTTAGGATACAACACTGTGTGTATGTATGTGAGGGGGGACACACACCATGAGTAAAACAGAATTAAAGCCCCGTTGGTCTGTTGTTGTTGACGAGGCCTTACCTAGCAACAGGCTAATTAGTGGCTAGCACTCATTACAGTCAGTCTACTGAGCTCAGCCCCTCTCCAACACATCATCTGTATTGAGTCAGAAACACAGCATGCACGTTACGGTTCAAAACTAACTCAGATTGGAAAAGGCTAAGCAAAGAGCTTTGCTAAATAGAGAGTTTTAAGCCCCATCTTTTGGGATTTCAGACGATATTTATCCAAATAGTATTTTCTCATCCTGAATACTAAATTGAGATGATTTTGTTTTCTTCTTTACAGGCCAGCACCTCACATGCTACCAGCAGATTACCTGTGATGACAGATTCTGCATGTCAGACTGACCCACCCAAGTACCGTACTGTTCGTACACAGCTATCCTCGAGGACTCTTGGTTCACATCGAAGTACAAGTTAGAAGCACGTTTTTCAAATGTTCTTTGGATACATCTTGATATTCTGATGTTGTAGCCTTTAATTTGTGTGCTTCTAATTGTTGTAAAATATTTTTGTTTTATCTTTTGTTTTGTTTTTAATGTCAAATACAATTATGTTACAGCTGTCCAGGCTAAAACTCCCTGCAGAAGCGTTGGTGTCGAAACACTTCCGTTGGAAGTGCCAGTGCCCTTTTTAACATCCACCCCCTTAAAGAGACCACCAAAGAGGCCCAGTGTGGATCTTGAAGAGGAATACGAAGATCCATTTGAGGGAAGCTCTTCTTTGGTGTTTTCCGAAGGCCAGGATGCAACTTATGATCCAGCAGAATCCATAACAAATGCTACAGAAACAACAGCCATGTCGTAAGTTACTGAAATATCACTATGTGTGAGTTTGTCTATGTATTGTATTTTTTTGCTGTATATAATTCAAACATTGATAATAGGGAAACACCAAAGATCTCTAAAGCAACAATCTGTGTGATGGATCTTAACTTCTATTTTTTTGTTTTAGTGGTCAAGAACAAAACCCCCCCCCCAGACGATCAACACATACATCGTGTATGAGACCTGCCTCATGGAGCTTTTTGAATCATGTCCTGTGTGCAAGCGTGTGTGTGATGTAAAAACCAGAAGGATCGGTACATTCATATCAGTGCAGCAGCTGTGCCCCCATTGTCAGTTTACAAGAAACTGGAATAGCCAGCCTGTTCTTGGGAGTACTCCAGTTGGAAACCTGCAGCTATCAGTTGCAACATATGTCAACGGAGCATCTTTCTACACACTTTCAAAGGTAAATTAACTGCAGAAGATTGTTTTGCCAATGTTTGAAAATGCAAATGTTGTTGTTGAATAAGATAGGACAAGGTAACAATAACAAGAGTGAGAAAAGGTGGGAATAGGGCACTGTTAGGTAACGACCCATGCTAATATGTAAAGATCTTTTGGGAGGGTGGTGTGGAGAAAGAGAAGAGATGTGAAAGGGGCACTGTAGAGTAAGCACCCCTAATGACATGTTCAGCTCTTTCCCTGTTTAAAAAAAGGGCAGCTCATTTGCACTTTCCAGGTTCTCCTCATTGACACATCTACAGGTGATCTTTGAGATTAAAATGTATTCTTGCGGTTTTCTTTCAACCATTAGGTCTTCAAAGCAATGAATATGCAGCTATGCAAATACAACACCTTCCGAAGGCATGCCAGGATGTTCATTGAGCCAGCGATTGTTTCTTACTGGCAAAAATCACAGGAAGGCATGCTACAGAAGCTCCATGCAGAGGAGAAAGTGATAGTTGGTGGTGATATGAGGGCTGACTCCCCAGGTATGTATTTTTTATATAATTCACATTTTACATTTCAGAAAGGGGTTTCACTATGTGTGATTTGTTCAATTAATGGTTCCTGAAAAACATATGCTAAACACTACAAGCAAAAATACAAATTCACCATTCGCAGAGAAAAGTAATTACTGTAAAACATATTTTCACAGGCCACTCTGCAAAGTTCGGAAGCTACACTATGATGGACCTGAAGAACAACAAAGTCGTTGACCTCCAGTTGGTTCAGGTAAGTGGGGTGAAATGAAATATCAATGTTTTTTTCTTTAACACTGTTTGCACGTTATATTTAAAATGTGTGTATCAATGGTTATTTGTATGCGTCATAACAGAGCAATGAGGTTGGTGGAAGCTACCACATGGAGTTAGAGGGCCTGAAAAGGAGTCTGGAGTTGTTAAAGGAACGTGGTGTGACTCTGGACTGTATTGTCACGGACAGACATCTGCAAATTCAGAAATTCCTAAGGGAAAGCAGCATCACCCAATTCTTTGATGTGTGGCACATAGAAAAAGGTATTTTTCTTTATATTAATTTCCATGTAAATAAATCGATTGTAAATACAATCATTATTTTATTTAGACACAAACCCGGCTTCCTACAATCACATTAGTATAATAATATTTTGAGTAAACTTGTATGTATATTAACTACATGTTAAATGTATTTATTAGGGATTTCTAAGCAACTGGAGAAGGCTGCAAAAAAGAAGGACTGCGAAAAACTTCGAGGGTGGGTGAAGAGTATAAGAAACCACATATACTGGACTGCAGCAACCTCCACCACCGGGCCTGAGAGAGTGGCCAAATGGACTTCCATCCTGAACCACGTGCAGGATATCCACTCTCATGATGACCCCCTGTTCCCCAAGTGCCTTCATCCACTGCGCATTGCGCAATACCAATGGAAGGCTGCAGGTATGTTGTTCATAAACCATATTACATTACTCCTCTATAAATATTTGTAAGGGACAACTATTGAATACAGGATGTTGTCAGACACAATCTATAAAGCATGACAATTCAAATATGACTTTGATTTTCAAATTCTTAGGAACGCCGGCCTTTCACAAGCTGGAGACAATTCTCTCAACCAAGAGGATTTTGAAAGCTGTGGCCAAACTCAGCCCACACCACCAGACTTCATCTTTGGAGTCATTCCATGCCGTCATCCTGCGCTTTGCTCCAAAGAATGTTGTGTTTCCATTTCTTGGAATGTTGTGCAGGTAAAATAAACCATAGTTACTTACTAATTAGTGACAATTTGTACATCCTTTGCTATTATTTACATTTTTTTTTTACTCATGGCGGAAATGAAAGACTGTACCTGGCAGCCCTGCACTACAATGAAAACGCTGAGCGTGCACAAGCCACTACATCCACTGGAAAGCCTCTGTATAAACTGCAGTTCCCAAAGGCCAGGAAGGGAGAATGCAGAGCAAAACCAGTAAAGACTGACCCCACATTCTGTAAGTGTTTAAAATATTTATTATACAACTATTTACAAATATAAAATAAATAAATTAAAAAGAACTTTCAGTTTTGTACATGCATATACTAATGTAAACCACATTTTTTGTTGTGCTTTTTTTTAACATTGCACAGGCTACGTGGCCAACTTGATGGACCTCATCTTCGACCAAGTCTTTGTGGACCCTGCACCATTCACACAGGAGCTTCTGAAGATACCCATCCCAGAGGACCTGTGTTCCCAATATGAGCGACCTGACAGGGAGGAGGTCATCTCCGGGTATGCTACTCGGTTCAATTTGGCTGCTGTCTGAACCCAACATAGATATTTCGCGGATCAGGAAACTCTCTGCGAATCCTGAGGACAACGCAGGCCGGAATCACCACTCTGATCCTGCGTCCAAGGAAGCCCCAGCACCAGCTCACAAAGCTTCTCTAGGCTAGATACCTGTGATGCCTGAAATCATTAAAAAATATATTTAGTGTCATTTATATATAATACAAGTACATTTAGTTTTTTTTTATGGGTTCAAAGAACCGTTCATTTTGACAATAAAGTTCAGAGTTGATATCAAATGTGTCGTGATTATTTATGTTTGGATGGGTAAAGAATATTCTGATTTCAAAAGCATAAGGTTGTGTGTGGACTTTTTTTGTCGTACACTTGGGTGTGTTATGCCATTGCTGTGTAATAATATATCAGTGTTTCCCACAGATATGAAATATACTTGGGCGGGTGGTGGCAGAGGGGGGGGGGGGGTGCGCGAAAAAAAAAAAAAAGTTTTAACAACATTATTTATTGACTTTTCATTCCGGTATAATCATTTTGCGCAAAGATGGCACTGTTTGTCAGAGCACTTCATCCTTCTGGGATTTCATGAAGAACAGCTCCAACGCCTGTGTGTATGGGAATGCCTCTGGTGCTGGTCCATTAACTGCCAGTGTTTCCCACAGATCTGAAATATACTTTGGGGGGTGGTGGTAGCGGGGGGGGTTGAGGTGACGTGCAACAACATTAACCTTTCTGTTGGTCGCTTGTTAGCAGACCCTTCACGCGATGGCAGAGCGAACAGGTACAGGCAGGGTCCATAATGATAGCCCTATAGTTTAAATCTACTACCCACACATGAACATATGGAAATGGGTTACTATTTAAAAAAATAAATGTATTTATTAATGTATTTAGGAACCTATCCATGTGATTTTTAGTGGGGGTCGACCTCAAATCCTCTAGGGGGGGTCCAGGGGCATGCCCCCCCGGTAAGATTTAATTTTTTATTTTGGAGTTAAATGCATCAATCTGGTGCATTTTGAGGGGAAAATAAAGAGACTAGATCTATGGAAACACCTATATTTAACAGAACTGTATACATTTCAATAATCATAAAATCAAGGCCATAACCAATAACATACCATATCCAATATGAAAAAAACACTGAAACTTGTTTATTAATTTAGTTTTGGTTCATTTATAGTTGTGAGTGTGTCTGTGCTCCTGAACCAGCCTCTCCTGTCTCCCTCCTCTCCCCCTGCTCCTCTTTGAGGCAGCAGCAAAGACTAGTTTTCTCTCAACAAGTCTTACCTTTTTTCACCTAGTTAACTTTTTATTTATTTATTCATGCATATTTTACTAATCACATTACATTTCATTTAGCTGACGCTTTTATCCAAAGCGACTTATAATGACCGATTACAGGGACATTCTCCCTGGAGTAAGGGCTAAGTGCCTTACTCAAGGGCACACTAGTGGTGGTGTTCCTGGCGGGATTTGAACTCACAGCCTTCCGATCTTCAGCCCACCTCACTATCCATTAGACCAATCTCTACCCTCTCAAATGGAAATATGTGTTTACATAAATGGTGACCACACCGTTTGAGACCCACTGAGAACTTAGACTAAGTTAACTATCTAAACACTCAGAGAGTCCTTTACCTCACCTGAGCTGAGGTTCTCCCGAGCTTGAATGACACACAGAGACCAATCAAGGGCTTTGATTTATGGTCTGTATTACAGTGGCCATGTCGGCAGGCCACATCATGTGGACAGCCAGTCACCCTGTGTGAGGCAGGCCACTTAACAGGCCAGAAGGAGGCGAGATCAGAGCAAGGGAGCGAGGGATCATTGTCTACAAGTTAATCGATCGCAGATGGCGTCGTGGTCAAGGACGAATAAAAAAAATATATATAAAAAAAAAAAATTATAAAAAACAAAACAAAAAACGAAATGGGTCGCGAAATATACTTGGGCGGCCGTTAATATACCTGGGCGGCCCGCCCAAGTATAGTCTATGTGTGGGAAACCCTGTATATATATATATATATATATATATAATAGTACATGTACAATGAAAGATTGCATAAAGCCATATACACCAGTATTTATTTCCATGAACAATATTAGCATTCGTTTTACAATTTCAGTCAAAACAAACAAACCACTCACTGCTCTATTTGCCTCAACTGTAGTCCACCATGTTCAGCTCTGTAAATATTAAATGCATTCTGCAGGGAGAACACATTCAGGCACACAGGCTCCAATCCAGGATGGTCCACCATACAGTTAACAGAGTCTTCAAGTTCCTGCATCCGTCTTGACACCTAGTGTGATAAAGATATATTGAATGACATGTTAAAAATGTATTCTCTAAACAGACAATTTAGTGAAGCTATCAAAAATGTTACCTGTGGTATCCCCATGCAGCACACATTCTCCGGTTCAGAAGGCATCGTGGCGCAATTTGCACATGTACACCTGTAGAAAGAAGTCAATAACTGAGCTTTTAAAAACACATGAAACTACACACATTGCTGACAACTGAGGTGTTGTTGGAGTTATACTTTTTATCACCCTAAATTATTGAACTTTCCAACGGTTGTTGCACGATGTTGGAAGAAAAGGACTGTAAACTATTAATAAACGCAATGAGGCCATTGTATATATGCTGAAAATATGAATGTCTCCCTTTATAAATATGTATTGCTGTTTTTGCGTTACAAACTATAAGTTACAAACTGTACACATTGCATTCTTGCTAATTAGCCAACATATGAACGGAATAAGTAGCAAGCATCGTAACAGAGTAAAATAAATAGGGACAACAGCTTGTCAACTAACCATTCAGAAACGTCCTGCTGCAACCGAGATGTTTCCATCTCCACCAAAACCTCCGCTGCTTCAGGGTCAATCTCTGGATCAAATTCATATTATGCTTGAACACATGCATTGCTCTGAGATGACATGTTTATTCCACACGTAATCACAGCAAGCATGGTAACGTGACTCTCGCGGGCGCATGCCCCGCTCTTCTGCAGGGGGGCGTGGTCAGCTGCTGCTCAGAATTTTCAAAGACAGGCTTGGAATAGAGCGAAAATGAGCGAAACGAGGCATGGCTAAAAAATGATCTGTTTGGTATTTTGAAAAATAAAATGTATAAATATACCTTATATAGGTATGGTCATACACTATATCATTTAAATATAGCATGATAGGTCTCCTTTAAGATAGTAGGCTACAAAGAACTGCTTCGCCAAAATTGAAGCTCTGTATAAAAATAATGGAGAATGAGATCACCCCGGTACAGACACAAACAAGAGTTTAGTTTGTGTTATGCATCTGATCAGGCAAATAGTTTGTTACAATGTTCACAAGGGTGGATTAGGTAAGGGTTATTTAAGAAATGGGCATCTTTTACTGGTTTACTGCATGACAAGTGGTTCAGAATATTTAATGAAATGCAAATGTGCTACTGCTAAGATACCATTTAGAGCTCACTGACCAACATCTGGTGATCCTCTGACTTTTCATCTAGTATCCTTCACAGATCAAAGTTTTAAGTTATTCAGTTAAACATCTTAATATTGATTGATTGGCACAAACTTTTGAACCGACATTCATGGCTCCTGGATGATTCATATTAATAATGACTTTGGTAGCGCCATAATGAGGTAAGTATTTGTTGTGTGTAGTGAAATGTATTGACAACTGTTGGATGGATTGACCCTCTTTTTGGTACAAACATATTGACCAATTTGTTTTATCTAGCTTACAAATTGGCTTGGGGAGGTCACAACAGATCAGCAGACATGATTATATTGAACATTTCTATATAAGAAAAAAAAAACGTTGGTTTAATTTAAAATTAGCCATCAAATCACAGCAGAGCCAGGCCTGATGTGTCGACTGATTCATAATTACAGGTTACTGTCCGCCGTCCAATCATCACAGATCTGCATCTGCTCAATATTCCTCCTCCTAAGGTGGTAACAGATGTTCTGGCTTTGTTAGCAAATCATATGTATGTCGCATACTGTATAATTTGTTTTTTAGCTGTACCTTCAAATTGAAAAATGTGACATGTCTTATTACTTTTTGTATACTTTCACGTATTTAGTGCTACATATTTTGCATTTAAGCTCTACATACTTGCATAAAGTTAATGTTTTGAATTTCTAATAATGAATGAAGGGTCAGTTAAAGGTTAAAGCATAACTTATTCCTAAATTAACATCTAACCTGTTAATATGTTGTCCTTTAGTTCCTGGAGTTCATAAACACTTCTCTAATAGACACGTGGAAGGACAGAGATATGTTATACTGAATCATTGAGATTGACAACAGTATGGTTCTAAATGTAACAATATGAACACCGTTATTTCAACATATGACCTTTGCACATTATTTATTCACCATGAAATCACTGCAAACACTCAAACGCATTCCACTCAACCAACATTATAGGGCAAAAATACATTAAGAAATTACTGTGTGGTATAGGTCAGGGCTGAGCATACTTTTCAACACTGGCGATGAGCTTTAACAACAAGGCCAACATACCCTTCTCCAACATTTATTTGAGATGAGGTCCATCTTGAGGGTATGCTTTAAGCAGTATGCCACAGCTGACCAGCACACTCATTCTTCTGGACGATTGCCCAAGAGCTGCTTATACCACTCACAGCAGAAGAAGCAGCTAAGTGTTCTCTCTGGTTTACTGGAACCTCATGTGAACGCTGTAACAACAAGATACATACACTTGTACCTTAGCAACGTCAAGCATGCATGGCAGGTCAGTTACGCTTCAAATGTTTTGGTGTGCATGGAGATGATGTGTGAGTGATTGCATTGCAGGGGCTGGTGGTGTCTTTGTTCAGCCTGCCCAAACCAAAAACTCCAAAAAGGAAGTGTAAGGAATAATTCAACAGTGTTTATCCGCTATAATGAATGATACTAACCTAATCATGCCTTGCAAATTAGACTCAGTAAAAACCAAGAATTACAACCAAGACCAGATGCTGCTCTCCTTACAGCTTCAAATGTGACCTTCAATGTCAATTTGAGGGGTTTGAAGCTGAATGTGTTTCAGAAAAAAGCTGGATGGCTCAATCTAGAACAGGAGGGAGCAGCTGCCACGAGTAGAGGAGTTCAGGTGATATATTGTATTATTATGGTTCT